CCAAAAAATTTCCATATGCCTCTAATTGTTCAAATCTATTTTAATGTGAAGAAATAACCTTGTCTACTACTCTCTCCGGTCCATAATAAGTGATTTTTTTGGCTTTTATTTTGATCCAAAATAAGTATCCTTTTATATAATCGAGAAGGAAATAACTTTATTTTTCCAAAATTTGCCCTTATTTACATATCTCAATGTGTCAAGTTAATAACATATAAATTTTAATTAAGGATAATTCAGTCAAAATACATTTTTATTCTAGGAGTCAGTATTTTCTTAAGGGGCACATCAAAGGTTAAAAAGTCATTTATTATGGACCAGAGGGAGTATGTATAAAAAGTAATCAACTCTAAAGGACGCTTCGAGAGATTTTGAGATTTCACTATTAATATTTTTCTCAAATTGTTTCTTCCTATATATTACACGTTTCTTATGAAATTCGGCTTCGATATTAATTTCAAATGCAATTTCCTTGGCAGAAATCAAAGCAGTTGCAAATTCTTCATCTCTTTATTTGTTAAATAAAGAAATCAAACTTTTTCACTTCACATAATGTTTTTAAAAAAATTTATATATAGCCTATTAGGTGTAAAAAAAAATGGGGCCTCCACAAATGTGGGGCCTAAAGCAGTTACTTTACCTGCTTTATAGACGGGTCGCCCCTACCGTGCATGTTTCTCTTTATTTTTTCTTTATTTTTAACATTATTTTCATTGCACAACTCATACCTTTTTGCTTCGTATTTGTAGAAATTTGCACGTCAAGGCTGTATTTTTGTGTTTGTATGTATTTTTCTTCTTTTATCTTTTTGTGTTATGGAACATGTATAGAAATTTTGTCTGACTTTCGAGCCAACATACACATGGAGTATAGAATGAAAGAAATTTGTACATAAGATGATCTAAGAGTGGGAAGCTCCTACCTCCAAAGTTAGATTACCATTTTACCCCTACACTAATTAAAAATCTAATTAATTAAATAGTCTAAAGTTGAAATATGAAAATGTCCATCAAATTTACTAAAATGTAAATTTACATTTCAATATATAATAAATGTATAGTACGTATATTAAATATAAAATGTGAACAGAATGTTTTGATTTGAAAAATTGACAAATATGTTTCTCAAGTTAATGTCATTTATTGTAATCTATTAAATTTAGAATAACTTTCATCTTCCACTATCGATTAATATCACTCTTTAAAATGTGCATTGAATAGTTAACTCTTTCAACTTCTAACAGTAATTACAAATTCATGAATATCAGCTTTTCCACTCCTCAATTTACTTATTTATCAGGTTTTCCAACATACCATCTACAATCTGGCTTCGACTATGAACGTTGGACTCCATTCCAATCGATTCCTACTCGGTAACTTTACCTTTTTGTCTCTCTTTCTCTTTGGATTATTAATTTCAACACACATAATTTTCTTGTTTACTCTCAAAAGGTTAACAATTTGAAAAGTTATAGACCAGTTTCATATGCATGTATAATTTATAATTTCTAAACTCAATGCTTTTATTTCCTTAGTTAATCTCATAAGATAGAAAAGTAATTTGAAAAGTTATATTTAATCTCAATTATAGACCAGGTTCATATGCAAAGGTAAAATGCGTAGTATTTGAACAGTCATTCCTACGAGGCTACGACTATTTAGGACCTAACGCCGATAATGCACTGAAGTCATAGAGATTTGTTATGAGTTAGTTGGCAAAAGTTGGGTTCATTTTTTTCTCTTTATTCCTAATCCTTGACCCATCTATTTCACTTTATATGTTATTTTCCCTCTTTTTTATAGTGTTAGATTCTCATATTAATGCCTTAATAGCGTTATTTTATGTGTGTGATATATATTTTTGTGCAGTGAGTACTGTATATCCACCTTCCTAATAAGGGGCTTAAGTGTTGTATAAACAGATGGCCTCATGGTATTTTTATGCACATGGACTTTGTTTGTCCGATTATTTACTTCGATAAAAGATTAAAATATTTGTTGAAAAAATAACTTAAATTATTTTTTATTTATTTTGTGGATAAAATTCATCTCTGTAACAAGATCCAAGCTCTTGATAGCATCTCTTGAAAAGTAAGATCATGATATTTAAAAAGTCACACTTATTGGCTACATGTTAACCCCTTCAGTTGTTGTTCAATTAACTGAACTATGTGTATATGTAATAAAAATATTGAGCAAGATGTAAATAGGATAATATTCTTAAATTTGTACTCCATTACCTCACTATTTACATATCTCATACATGCACGTTTTAAGACATTAGAACACGAAAATTCTTAAGTACTCCTATGATTTATTTAGAATGCAAATATTTGATTTCTTGTTGGAACGGTACTGTGACTATTAGTGTTCTTGAATAGTTTTTTTTTTTTGGGGGGGTAGTTTTTAATATTTCCCAAGTCTCAAAGAAGCATGAACTGTTTGACCGAGTGTGTAGTTGAGGACTATGTCATTGTATATTAATTTTATTGAGTTTCTGGTGTATACTTAACAAAGAATCTGATGATCTGATGAAGTGCATAAGCTTCTTTTTTTCATGTATGATTATTTATTATCCTTTTGAATACTTCTTTCGTTATATATAGCATATATACAAAGAGCATGTTGTTTGAAATTATTGGCTTTCACGACAAGCAAGAAGCCAAGGAAGCTAATATTTTCATAACTTAAATAATTGTTTTTAGAATAATTAAGTTTTTTATTTGCCATATAATATTTTTTTCGGAGCACACTTGTCAAATCAATTATACAATAACATATGCATCTAAATAGTTGCTGCCATGTGACCAGGAGATCACGAGTTCGAGCCGTGTAAACAGCCTCTTGCAAAAATACAGGGTGAGGCTGCGTACAATAGACCCTTGTGGTCCAACCCTTCCCCGGACCCCACACATAGCGGGAGCTTCGCGCACCACGCTATCCTTTTTATTTTATTTTATATATATGCATCTAAATAGTTTAGTTCTTCATATTCATACGAACTAATGGCATCCAATTATTTTTAACCTCAACTATTAAATCACTAATCAAGGATCATATTATATGATTTTTATAGTGTTGTTAAGAAATGAGAGCACAATAGAATAATATACTAATGGAGACAAAATATATACGAGGGAGAATGATTTTGTTATTTCTTTTCTTGGTATGTTATTCATAGGGTCAAAAGTTCCCTATTTATAAATGTACAAATACATTCAAAGGTTATAAGTTAATCTACTTCTTAATTGAGTACATGAATACAAAGTACGTTAAATGGGCAGACAAATGCATTCATCTCACTCACATGCATTCATCTCATTTATAACACTCCCCCTTGGATGTCCATTTAAAAAATAATGTGCCTCGTTAAAACCTTATTAGGAAAACCCAGTGGGAAAAAGCCTAGTGAAAGAAAAAGAGTACACATATCTTGTAATACGCATTGAGTGCTGCCTCATTAAAAACCTTACCAGGAAAACCCAATTGGTACAAAACCTTGGTTAAGGGAAAAATAGTGCTCCCCCTGATGAGAGCTTTATTTGATATCTTGGAGACAACGCATTCCAATCTTATGTCTCAGCTTCTCAAATGTTGATGTTGGCAATGCCTTAGTGAATAAATCTGCTAGATTGTCACTTGAACGGATTTGTTGAACATCTATCTCACCATTTTGCTAAAGATCGTGTGTGAAAAAGAACTTTGGTGAAATATGTTTTGTTCTGTCTCCTTTGATATATCCTCCTTTAAGTTGAGCAATGCAAGCATCATTGTCTTCATACAATATCGTTGGAATCTTCGGTATTAAAGAAAGACCACATAATTGTTGAATATGTTGAGTCACTGATCTCAACCATACACATTCTCGACTAGCTTCATGAATAAGTATTATCTCTGCATGATTGGAAGATGTAGCAGCTAAAGTTTATTTTGTTGAACGCCATGAAATAGTTGTACCCCCACAAGTAAATAGATAGCCTATTTGAGATCGGGCTTTATATGGGTCAGACAAATAGCCTGCATCTGCATAACCAATCAACTGTGAATCAGATTCATAAGAATAAAATAATCCCATATCAATAGTCCCTCGGAGGTATCTAAAAATATGCTTAACATCATTCAAGTGTCTTGTTGTTAGAAAGGAACTAAATCTTGCTAATAAACTTACTGCAAAAGTTATATCTGGTCGAGTATTATTTGCAAGATACATTAGTGCCGCCCCAATTGCACTAAGATATGGAGTGTCATCACCAAGAAGCTCTCCATCATTTTTATGAGATCGAAATGGATCTTTATTTATATCAAGTGATCTCACAACCATCGGGGTACTCAATGGATGTGCTTTATCCATATAAAAATGATTTAGGATCTTTTCGGTATAAGTTGATTGATGGACAAAAATTCCATCTTTCATATGCTCAATTTGTAGACCAAGACAAAATTTTGTCTTTCCAAGATCTTTCATTTCAAACTCTTTCTTCAAACAGTCTACTCCTTTTGGAGGTTTCCCAGGAGTTCCAATGATATTTAGATCATCAACATACATAACGATTATTACAAATTCAGATTCAGACCTTCTTATAAATACACAAGGACAAATTGGATCATTCTTATACCATTCTTTCAGCAAATACTCACTCAGGCGATTATACCACATTCGCCCTGATTGTTTCAATCCATATAAGAATTTTTGAAGCTTTATTGAACAAGTTTCCCGAAAACCTTTATTAGTTTCAGGAACTTTGAGCCCTTCAAGGATTTTCATATAAATTTTGTTGTCCAATGTGACATACAAATAGGCTGTGACAACATCCATTAGACGCATATCAAGTTTTTCATGGACTGCCAAATTTATAAGATACCTGAAAGTGATTACATCTACCACAGGAGAATATGCCTCCATATAATCAATGCCAGGTCTTAGCGAAAATCCTCGTGCCACAAGTCATGCTTTATATCTAACGACTTCATTTTTATCATTTCGTTTTCGCACAAAAAAACTCATTTGTATCCCATTGGCTTTATTCCTTCAGGTGTTCGGACTATACGTCCGAATACTTCACGTTTTTCAAGTGACGCTAATTCTGCCTGGATTGCGTCTTTCCATTTTTGCCAATCATTTCTCTGTCTACATTCATCAACGGATCTTGGTTCAAGGTCCTCATCTTGTTGCATTATTTCAACAGCAACATTATAAGCAAAAATATTGTCAACAATAATATTATTTCGGTTCCACCTTTTTGCCGTAGAGACATAACTTATTGAGATCTCTTCATTCTTATTATTTTCAGGTACATGGACCTCCTCTGAAGTCTTATCATTTGTTATATCACAGGGCTCTTTTTGAGCAATTACCTCCATATTATGATCTCCTAGATCATTTTCTCCTTTTCGCTTTCGAGGATTTTTATCTTTGGAACCAATTAGTTTACTACGTTTCAAGCGTGGTTTAGACACATTTGCATTTATAGATTGACAACCGGGACATCAATTCGAATAGGAGCATTAGCAGCTGGAATATATGACTTAGTCACCCTTGGTAGGTTAGTGAATGCATCAGATAGTTGATTTGTAATATTTTTCAAATAAATTATCTTTTGAACCTCGTGTTCACATTAATTGTTCTATAATCTAAATGAGATAGTGATAATGCATTCCAATCTATATCTTTTTGCAGTTGTGTAACGATCCAACCGAATATTTTAACTTTTAGAACCCCGCTCCCCTAAATAAAACTCCTTATATATGCTTATAATAAATTATGACTTGCGAGAATGGTTGATTCGGGATTTGGAAGTGTTTGGGTTGAAATCGGAACACTTGGTTCCTTAAGTTGGCTTTAAAAGGCCAAGTTTGACTTCAGTCAACATTTTGAGAAAATGACCTCGGAATAGAATTTTGACGATTCCAACAGCTCCCTATGGTGATTTTGGACTTAGGAGCATGTTCGGAATTTTATTTGGAAGTCCGTAGTTAAAATAGGCTTGAAATGGCTAAAACAGGAATTTAAGTTTGGAAGTTTGACCGGGGAGTTGACATTTTGATATCGGGGTCAGAATCCAGTTCTAAAAATTTTCATAGCTCCCTTATATCATTTGTGACTTGTGTGCAAAATTTGAGGTTAATCGGACTTGATTTGATAGGTTTCGACATCGAATGTAGAAGTTGGAAATTTTAAGTTTCATTAAGTTTGAATTGGAGCGTAATTCGTTGTTTTAACGTCATTTTATGTGGTTTAAGGTTTCAAATAAGTTCGTATGATGTTTTATGACTTGTTGGTATATTTGGTTGAGGTCCCTAGGGTCTCGGGTGAGTTTCGGATGGTTAACGGATCAAAAGTTAGACTTAAAAAAGCTGCTGCAATTTTTTTCTCTTCTGTTAGATATTCTGGGATGTGATCGAGCCCAAGATCGAGCCTAGATGTCGAGCCCAGAGTTGACGGCTAGGGTCAAATCTAGGGACGAGTCTTAGGATCGAAGCCATGATCGAAGACCCAGCTCGAGGGCCATGATCGAAGGCAAGGCACGAGGGCCAGGATCGATACCCAAGATCGAGGGTCACAAAATCGAGGCTCGATTCCATGATCGAGGCCATGACCGAGGCCCAGGCTCGAGGGCCATGATTGAGGCCACGATCGAGGCCCAGGTTCGAGGGCCATGATCGAAGCCACGATCGAGGCCCAGTTCCAAAGGCTGCCTGGGCAGATCTATAAAGGAGGGAATTTCGTCCCATTTGCCATTTTTGACGAACTTGAGCTTGAGCAGAGGCGACTTTTGATAGATTTTCAAGGAAAAACATTTGGGTAAGTGATTCTAACTCAGATGTGATCTATATACACAAATATATCATTGTTCTCACCATTTAATTAGCGTTTTGAGATTTCTAAAAATATTAATCCTAGTAAATGCTCATGCACTTGTGACACCGGGATTTGGGAATAGTTATGAATTGTTTAGAAATTTAGTTGCTAAAAATATTTATCATTTACTCTATGAGTTCTATCTTTATTATTTCAATGAAGAAATTTTGATTTCAAAAATACTAAAAGAGGATTTAATTAACTATATAGTGTTGGCTTGCCTGACAGCGGTGTCCGGCGCCATCACGACCTTAAATAGATTTTGGGTCGTGACAACATGGTATCAGAGCACTAGGTTCATGTAGGTCTCACGGGTCATGAGCAAGTCTAGTAGAGTCTTGTGGATCAGTACGTAGACGTCTGTTCTTATCTTCGAGAGGCTACAGGGTTGTTAGGAATACTTCCCTTCTTGATTCCTCATCGTGAGATTCGATTCCTTTTAGGCTTATGCCTTCATTTCCTTCTTATTCAATCTTATGCGACGCGAAGCGCTTGTTATACATTGGGGTTCGAGGAAATTTTTAATGGTACTACAGATGTAGTGCAGTATGCTTCTCCTGTGTAATTAATTGGGCTATTGCCGTCGCCTTGCGGAAGGCTGCTCTATCGTTTCAGTTCAGTAACAATACTACCTAAGGTTTTGAGATTTGGCATTAATTGTTATGACGATTCATGTGTTGTTATCGCATAGTATTTATGTAATGGTAGAATGCATGTCTATGTGTCAGGGAAGTAGACGACTTAAAAGAATGTTTTTCCTAGTACATTATTCAGAGGTTCCATGTTTTATTTCCAGCAGAGAAAAGGCAATCGGACTATGAATGTTGAGGTTTGGGGTTGATGGAGTAACAAAGCCTGATATCTTCGAGCGTGGGAGAGTTCTCAATTTTGATGTGGTGTCATCGGCTTGTTAAATACGTTAAGGTTGGCCGGTGTTATAGTTTTTTTCAACTCGCTTTCACGGTGGGATGTTAGGAATTGGTATAGGGAAAGCAATTGTTAAGGATCACGGTGTGCAGTGGTTCACGGTCGAAGCAGTGTTCCTAGTATTGATGGCTCGAGAAGGATGATCCTCGGAAAGGTTTAAAGCTGGTAACGACCTATTGGTTCAAGTGCTACAGAGACGGAGTTTTAGTTAAGGCAACAACTGGACAGCGAATGATGAGGAAGAACATGTGGAAGGTGTCTTGTGGTGGTTAAGTTCCTAGAAGGCTAAGTGTGAGAAACAGAAGTCGAGTAGTTGCTTAAAGGAGAGTGGCAAGGTAGCATATGAGTTACGTGATAGGATAACTACACGAATTGAGGAAAATTTGAAGTTATTTGGGATATATGATGGATAGTGACTAGGTCTATGGACTTAGGTTGTAATATTAGCTGCTATATTGAGGAAGAGTGGATACAACAGGAGGGAGTTGCTTGATATGAAGAATGATACGACATGACTTTGGATTGTAATGTATTGTCGCACCTTTAGTTGACGTCCATGAGGAGTGAACGGACTAGTACAGCTGGTGAATGAGCTCGGACTCAGGATGATCTACTGATTTTGTAGTAATTGCACCCAGTGCAGCGACGTTGGAATATGTCAGCATGTAATTTTCACAGGTGGGTTATCTCCTGTGAGCAGGTTATCGGTCGCGTGGTATTGGTAAAGCTTCTGCGAAGAATTCTACTGGCTACCCGGTAACAGATTTAATATGTAAATGTGGCTAGTGGTTCGGAGTGTTTATTAAAGGTTAATAGAAGGATTTTGAGAAATTTGGCAAGTTGCATGTGCAGGATCATGTCAACGATGAAGAAAGAATCTCGGTAGATTCTAGAGTTATGTAATTTTAGCTTCAAGCTAAGTGGGAAAGCCCCACCATCTACAATTGGATTGTATGGTTGTCTATTTGTGAGGTTCCTAGTTATCGGTGTATTGGTGGGTCATTGCAACTAAGGGAAGAAAACATCAGTGGTAATTTGAGCAAGGATTTGGGGAATGTGTGCCATATTTGGCCTTATCGATTCATATTCTGGTTTTTGGAAGACTCGGAGTTTATGTTTTGTGTAGATGTAATGCACAGGGAAAGTAAGATAGTCGGATGTTTCCTTGAGAAAGTGTCCATATGCTAGAAGGGCCTTCGAGTTGATCATGTTTGGGAATAAGTCAGAGCAAGTGACTCTCAATAACGGTCTTAGAGGGTTCAAAAATTTAAAGTACGGTGCCTAAGGATCTTGAGTCCATAGTATGATTGAGTATCGAGCTTTTGCAGCAGATTATAAAACGGGGCTCGGAGTACTCTGCGTTATCTTCCGATTGTGGTGTAGCATTATAAAAATGGAAGAAAATAACTTCGGATTCATAAAGGAAGTATCAGAATGGGTGTACCAATTGAAGATGTAAAAGTGCGCACAAGGAGGAGTATTAGATGATTTGTGGGTTTTGAAACAACGTGGTCTCGTGAAATAAGGTCACTCGGGATGAGTGCGGATTTGAGTTCGTGATGTAATGGATGGAGGTATTATTATTTCTAAGGAAAGTTGAGAATAAATTGAGAAAAATACGAGTCGGCTAACAATGGTTGAATAGGCATGATGGTGACAATGATCAGTTCCTTCAACATATAGAGTTATGCATGTAATTTGTGGCAGTACGTGTGAGGCTTGGCGGCCATTGTAATTGATTTTATTTGGAGGAATTCAAGTATTATGGCATGTTATGTGTAGAGGGATCCCGGAAGAGTTATGGTGGTTTAGACCACTACTTGAGGCCGGTACTTTCTGCGGATATGGGAATTCAGTCACGTGTTGCAATGGTTCTCTTGAAATGAGTTAAGTAGAAGGTTGCTATATGATGAAGTGTTTACCTATTAGTGGTTCGGGAGTTATGATGAAATTTTTGTACTCCTACATATTTGTGTGATTAAGTGTATTAAGTAGCATGAGATTCAAAAGTTGAGGATTTAAGATTTCGGTTCGTTGTTGACAAGGATGTCACAAGCTCGGACGATCAGAAAAGGAGTTAGAGGTTTAAAGCAAGCTGGTATTGTCTTCAGTGTCACCTGAGATCGGTGTTATGTCTAAGAGGCTTTGTGTATTGAATTGCAGATCCTTCATTCTCCTTGCAGTATTAGTATGGTCGGTGGTATGGATGTGCAGACTTGTTATCTGTTGCGGAAGGTCGTGGGAGCGTATTTCACAAGAGAATTGTATAAGTATGACAAGTAGTCACCTGATTGATTAAATATTTAACAACCAAGTATGAAGATTGTGGCGATATCACTAATTCGAGAATTTTTGCCTAGAGGGCGCTCAGCTCATTTG